CATCAATGAATTATTATATACGGACGAGTTTAATGGCTACCCCAATCATCTTAGGGCAGAATGACTGTTTTAATCGACTTGGCCTTCGACTATTAAGCAAACAAAGTCCATATGATGATACAAAGTAGCAGACACGCGAGCACCAGTCGACCGTAATGTAAATACCATGATCGTCATAATAATACATGGACCAGTTGGTCTATTGGAACAAACGTTGACCTCTGATATCACGCAAACAGTTACCAATGATGGCCATCTTTATTACAAATGTCATGGCACTATCGTCATCGCCATGGATCTAAAAGTTTTGATAAAATATGATCATCAAAAAGTAATTCAACATTTTTAGTGAATGAAATTGAAACACGAACAAATAGAAGTTTTGCAAATGGATAAAGTTAGTCATTTTCTTTACTAATGAACAGTAAAGCTTTTATTATGGTTATAGCCAAAGCAATAACAAATGAATCCAATAAATCATCATTGATTCGTACATTAATAAACCATCATCAGAGGTTTCAATAAAACTGGATGACGAATCACGTCGTGCTTTGGTCACCAATAAATGATCAATGTTGTCATTGGGAAAAAAATTCGATCAATCCTACTTATAATAAGCAATTCTTTTTTTCAGTTCAAATGACCATTCTGATGATTTAAAATTAACTACAAACAGATAAACGAACATAGATTCATGCTGCGAACGATTCGAATGCTCATTTGGTTGATTAGCGAAAAATCAACTTAGAATAAAATTTATTCATTATCAACTAGTAAAAACTTATAATTGTAAGTTATTCTTCAATAAAAAAGGATGAAAATAAATTGTAAGAGATTAGTCAAGCTTTAATCAACATTTTACAATGAATTCTTTGGATAATTCTTGCATGAAACTATCAATGGAAAGCTTGCTTATCTGAATGCCTTAAACAGAACAGGGCCATTCATGATTACATCCGTAGTTATTGCAATCATACTGTCATAGTCATATCTAAGAATTGTATTCGAAAAACAATTAGATCATCAGAGCAGAAATGAATGAACAGATTCACAATGGACCAATGAACAAATGAATGCATCACTGATCATGACTATCTCAGGTTTGTTAGAATAATAATATTTAAAAAAAATGACAACAATGAACAATGGTAATCAATTAGAATAGCAAAATAGACAATTCGATTTTCTAATCGATTCCGACAAGAAATCTCGAATGAACAATGAATAAAGAACTTCCTGTTCCGTCCGGCTTTAATCCATTATAACTATTGTCTGAATAATTATGATACACTGCACGTGAATTATTATACTACATTCTGATCACGATCCGAAACAAAACAAAGTTGGCCCACTTAGTACAAAAAAACTTTAATTGGAATGGATCGAATTCATTTTCATTTTCCAACATTTACAACTTATAATGTCCAAACCTGTAACCAAAGGAGTACATCCAAATTACTTGTCATAATGAGAAATAGTGAGTTTATTCGATTATTAAAAAAAAGCAGATTAATCAATTAGGTTAAATAAACTTTGTCCATATGATCGAATGGTGATAATAGAGAACGATTGTCCATTATCAAGTTTAATATCTTTCGTTCTAGTTTTCTCTGTAATGATAATAATGAATTCAATAATGATTTTCATTGTTTAGCATTGTAAATAGTGAATTTGACCAACGATTCAATCATTGAATGTAATTCATTTTGCTGGCCAGATTGGGTTCATAGGAAAGTAATTTCCAATCACACACACAAACACTGTTAGTTTGTTTAAGGTTTGCAATGGTAAATTGTATTGTAATATTAATAAAATGGACGCTTGAATGGATTTTTAAGAGTAATGCATTACCATGCTACACACAGATCTTTTTCTGATTAGGGTCCATCACAACTGCTGGGCGAGATTTTTATCATATGAGAAAGAAATACAGATGTAAGTATAACTGGTGGCCACCACTGTTTAGTGGGCAATAATCAAACTTTTATCAATTTAATGATAAAAGAACATGTAAAATATAGACGAATAAATAGAATAACGGCAGGTGAGCTAAAATGACATTTCCGGACACATTACTATAACCGGAACTTAAATAACATGAAAAAGTCTGCAATAGTGACTGGCCGATATGGACAAAGAAAGTCACTCACCATCCATTTAATTTTCTTTGCTTTTATCGATACAATTGTGGCTAGGTTATTTGTGTTGAATCTGTACGGCTGTGGTTGACTAGTGTACTAAAAAAGCCATAAATCTTTGCTGGGCGCAAATGAAAAATCTGAGACAAAAAAAGGAGCTAAGAAAAAAAGTTAATTATTAATGATGCGAATGAATGGAGCGAACAATCGATTCTATGAATTCTATCTTTAAGTCACTATACTTGTTTGGAGCTACATAGCCGATTCGCACCGCTGCATATGGCTGCGTGCCAATGGTGATCATGATAGATGATGGTCATAGCATCAATACATACAATGTCCAGTCATTTGTAGAAAAAAAATAAAAAACAATTAGCACCGTCTCTGGTCGACCAAATTTGCCATTCTCATCATCACACAATGACTGTAAATGCACAGAAACTAATATCATGAAAAATGGCTAGAATTTGCCCAAAACAGACACCTATGATTCGAGATGACAATCCACGACACACGTTCATACATTTTTAAACCAAACCAATATTATTCTGAACAATTTACCAACAAACACTAGGCTTTCGCGTTAGACAATTTCCACCATTCAATGAATTAAGACTGAATTAAGCGGCTATTAATTTAGGCTTGAATTGGCATTACTGATCAAGACAATCCGTAGCAGCTATTATTGCTACTTACAATTTTTACTGACCAAACCAAAGCAGGCCAATTTATGTTAAGACAGATACCGTTTGAATATATACGGAGATACATGAGCCATCAAAATTGTAATTAAGTTAATCACAGCATCAGTTCAAATTTGGAAAAAGAACAGCTAAAAAATCGATCGGACCAAATGACTGCTCAGCCATAACTCTGGGATAAGGTTTCAAAAACTGATGGTCTAGAACGGTGGCCATTTAAGCTAAAAGATTGAATCGATCGGTTAGTCTCAGAATATTGAATGGTTATTGCCCGTCATCATAACCCGATTAAATACAAAATGATTGTGATGGTGGTACAAATGGAATCCATGTAATGGAAGACAATCAATGTCCCATTATGGATAAGCTGATTATTTAGACTGTCTGAACAACTTGCACGCGTTCTAGTGGTATAAAAATCTATTTGAGATCTCGATTCTTTTACAGTTGAGAATTTTGGCAAGTCCTCAGGCAAAAGTTTTACATCAGTTGTGAAAATAATTGTTTCAAATATGATCTAATCTGCTTATAACAATGTTTACGGCTCATTATGACAATCTAAGCATCATTTGTACTATCCGGGCAGTGAATCTGAAATTGTTTTTTGTTTTGTTTATGCGAATGAACGACAAACAGAACAAACTTGTATAACATAAACACAAACACACATTCTTATTAAACAAGCAAGTAAAATAATAACAATATAAACATGTCCGGCCATGCGACCATGACAAAATGAATAAAACTTTGCATGCTCTGTCAATTCAACATGATGACGATGACATCCGACTTGACAATACATCAATCGGCACTATCATCGAGTTCGACAAACCACAAACAGGCCTAGTTTTTTCTGGGAATTCAATGAATCATTAGGCAACAATTTTGAATCAAATTAGAGAAAGATGAAAGTTCTTATAGGAAGTGAATGATAGATAGAAAGATAGATAGAATACCGACAACGTTAGTTTATATTTTCTGGTTTTCCGGTTGCATTATTATTAACAGTTCAAGCTGAGATAAGAGAAAATGGAGACATTCGCTCGCTTGATTCAAGTTTTTTTAGTGGTCTTATCATGCATGATGGTGATCTACAAAACAAATGACATAGTTCATCATTTATGATTGATGTTTCAGCATTGGACCAGAATGGTGAGTCATAATCTATCAAATAGCCACGATGATCCATCGATTGCGAAAATATCCGAAAAGGGATTCACCAAAATTGTCAAGAAAAGAAACTGCTGAAAGACGGTTGTTTTTTCATTGAAAAACCACACATAGATAAATCGTTAGTTAGATAAAATTTATTGCAGTGTTAAAACAAAACAAAAAAAATTCTATGCCAACAAACAGGTAAAAGATAAAATTTATAGTGCTAAAAAATTGAAATTGAAAATTTGTGTCCGGTAACCGGTCTACTGCCAAATGGTTGAAAAAACATTGATTGTCACAACTTTTTTTAAAAAAATATTGCAAATACCCCCCTATTCTACATTATTCTTGATATACGACTAACATAAAACATGGCTACCTTGCTTTCACTTTTTCTTACGCTGCGATTGATGGCTATTTGTCCTAATCTGTAATTGCTATTTCCAGGATTGAACATAAATTTTCTCCTCATATACGATCTACACAATACAATCATATAGCCATCAAAGTGACATTTATTTTCATTCCAAAATTTCCAATTCTAAAAAAAAATCTAGAGCCCATTTTTTTTTGTTGCTAAATGTATTTTTGATCGCGTCGAGTTTGATGGTTTCCATAAATAACATTGGCAAACAATGCTGTCGACGCCCCAAAACAACAGCAAGGAAAACCATTATCATTTAGTCTATCATTTAGACCGGCATCCTTTCTTTTTTTTACAGGCGATAAATTTAAATTTCTATACCTGAATCGAAATGGATAAATTCATCGGACAGAACAAATGGTTTGAACAAACAAACATTCATTTTGACTATCATTTTTGTTTGAAAAAAAAGTTTTTTGTATTTTATAAACAACAGTGTATAATAATTGAAAAACTATTAATTGATATCCATAATGTATTATAATTATTAACTATGATCAATGATAATTGTCGATTGTGTTTTTTTATATAGATAATATGGATCGATAATAAAGACAACAACAACAAAAAAAAACAATCTACCTTTAGTATGACTAGGATATTGATTGAGACCGTCATCCAAATTATTGATAATACTATGATCGGTAGCTCTGATTAAAAGTAAAGCAACCATCAAACAAGTGAACCAACAATTAATGGCTTTTAGCCATTTTGATCGTCGTAACAAATAGCACATTATTCTTTTGAATTAATGGTTGTCGAATCAAAACACATCCACACCCACAAAAACACACACACACACACACCACCAATAATTGTTAAAATGATGGATGATAAAAATTATACTGATCAATCGTCATATGTATTTGAAATGAATTGATCAAGAATTATTTGCATCAAAAAGAAAAAATCCATTTAAAGTAATAAAATGAAAAACAATGATAAAAAGTACAGATGTGAACACTTTGAATGCTAGTTCATAAATGAATTGACTGGCGCGTATTTTTTCTACTTAAATATATCCGTTTCGAGACTGTCGGTCAATCAAGAGTCATATAAATGTGACGCGTGCGTGCCCACCTATCGAATCCACTATTGAATTTTGGTCATTTAATTTATCCAAATTTTAAGCAATGGAAATTGACTAATAGAATGCCACCTGACGGTTTAGATTGTTATTAAAATGGCCATTTTTTAAAATTTCAACATTGAACATTGACAACTTTCACACAAAATATAAACAAAAAGAATTTTGATTGCAATAACAGTATCATCATTTTATTCAAATGGTAGAGGCAAAGATAAATTTCATTTTTCATACACCACTACTTCTTGATATTTTATTCAATGATACTTTGGATTGATGCGAAAAAATGACAAATCTGTCGATTAAAAGCTTGATTGACGGAATGAACATTGTAATAAAGGAAGCTTTTGATGTATGAATAATCAGAGCTGAAGAATTTTGACAAACAATAAATGGTCAATTTTTATTGTTGTTGAAGTATAAGGATTTCCCACTAATCCTACATGCGAAAACATCGTGATTCATGCTTCAACGTAATGAATAATGTTTATAAGTATGAAACATAGCTTGAAACATACAGTGATTGCAATAAAGTTGGCTGTAAGGGTGCGTTATCAAATTTTAAAAAAAATGCAAAAAAACCCGTGCTCAATGGTTATAGTGATGACAGGATATAAATGTGGAAAATTTCACCATCATTTACCGATGTTTGACAAACAATCCACTCATATGACATATTGAAGGATAAGGGGAGGCAGCCAAAATCAATGTTTGAGTCATTCATAATCTTATCATCGAGGCTAAAATCCTCATTAGGATGATTGTGGTTGTTCATTTGAATTTTTTCCATGAATGAAACCAGTTGATTACACAGAAAAAATTTGTAAACAATTTAAGCTATCTGAAATAAATTTTGTCAATTCAAAACCAAAATCTATTTATTATTAAGGAATGAACAATGTTACCTAGATTAATTAATATTGTTACCTTTATCTGGTTCATTTCATTTTCATACAATTATGGTTATGCTGCATTTCAATGCCAAGGTAGGTTAAAGTTCAATTTTTTTAGGAAATATCAGCCAAAAATTGTCAAATTTTCATAGATGATGGATTTTATCCTAATCCAACTGATTGTGGTAAATTTTATCGCTGTGTTCATGGCGCTTCATATTCGTTCGATTGTGGGCCAGGTACTCATTACAATCCTTCAATAATGACATGTGATTGGCCTTACAATTCTGGTTGTCATTCATCTTCACGGGAGACAACTAATCTTGATTCGAGTGAATCAACATCAATTCAATACGCTCGCCATGAGCAACCCATTTCATCGCGATTCCACTCCAATGAACCAATAATAAGAAGAAACCCGATAATGACAAGAAAGCCAGCTTATTCGGCAACGACTAATCATCGTTATGTTGTTCCAGTTTCTCACGCTCAATACCAACAAAATGATAATGACCAAACATCAATTCCACCGTTTTCCTCTTTTCCAGATAGACGCCAAGTAAGCACAAATACCGAGTCGACCGTAGATCAAAAGCAATCTCAATATAAACAAATTGGTAAGGAATCAGGAAACCGAATAAGAAAGCCAAACATTCAAAAAAGTGAAAAAATGGTGATGGAGCCAAAAAATTTTTCTCCCAACCAGCTTTATTATGATCCACAAACGGGCATCTATCATCAATTTCATTATGAAACAGGATTTCCAAACCAAAAAATTTCTTCAAAACCGATGGGTCGCGCATTACAAAAGGACAAAATTCGACAGTCAAAATTCGATCAGATTCCTATTCGGTCACAAGATTCTCTAAATAAACTAAATAAACATCATGATGATGTGATTTCAGATTCACATTCACAGCAGAAAACGATACGACCAGTTGTTTTGAATCAACAAACTTTTTCTCAGACAACACCAATGTATTCTCGAAGTCAATATTTACCAAATCAACCTAACATTCGATCAAATTCAAGTCAAGCTGATATCGAAAATCATAATCAACCAAAGCAAGTAAGTTACGTTGTTTACGCTAATGATGACCTTCAAGATCAATATAATCATGATAATGACACAATTGTCCGAAGACAACCGAATCCTGAAACTAGTGAACTAACAACGACTTCGACAATCAAATCAAAAAATCAGCGAATTAGTACACAAGATTCAATTGCTACAAATTCTGCATCTGGGAAACCAATCAATGAAGAACTGTCAAAACAAAATTCGATGCAAAGTTTTGTCGTGTATGAAGATGAATTGCAAGAATATTTAAGAATAAAAGGCGCTTTTAATTCACCAATTTTCAATAAAAGCATTGGCGTTGTTTATGAGAATAATCATACAGATGATAATCAAGATATAATACAAGCACGTAATATAGATAGTCATCAAATCTCAGATAAAATACTCACAACTGATAAAAATAAGCGGCCATTTTCAAAACTTCGATTGAAAACTGTTCCATACGAACCGAAGAATATATCAAGACGTGAAAATGATGACTTAGAAAATCGAGTCGACACATTAGAAACTACGACTACGGCGGCAGATAATAGTAAATTAGCAAATCGTCTTAGTCATTTTATCGCTACATTTGATCCGCGAATATTGAATGCATCAGATACCACTACAATATCTCCAATGGAACGAGAATTAAAACTTTCATCTAAAAATGATACTATCATCAAAGTTACACCATCATCCAATTTAAACAATACAAATGATCAATTTTCGTACGTGATATATGCTAATGAAAACAATAATACCGATCAATTAATGGACGATGAATTAGCTAAATTGCTAGGATTGAGACGAAAATCGCCGGATCTTAGAAATATGGATACAAATAATTCGCAAATTAACGATACGATTGCCCACTGTCCAGACAATACAGATTGCAAGGTTTCTAGATTAGAATCAGAAAAGACTGGATCGAATTATCAATGGCTCCAGATATCTGACCATGGTTTAGATAACCAATATTCAAAAATTTTACAAACTAAACAAACAGAATCACTACAAGAATGTCAAAAATATTGTTGGCAAATGTTGACTACTTGTGTTGGTTTTACGTATAATCATCGTAAAATGGAATGCCGTCTTGCATATGAATTGGATGTACAAACATCACTGACAAATGCGTCATCATATAGTGATAGCAATGAGTTTGCCACATTTTTACGAGAGGAACCAACATCAACCACCACTTTCCTTCAGCCAAGATGGCATCGAGCATATGATTCTGACATTTTGATTGGTGAAAATGTGCGACCAATGTTGGCACATTCAATTGTTGATTTGGTTGACGGTGATGATGGTCTTCATTTGGAAAGAGTGAAAGCCGTCAAAAGTCAAAATGGACTCTATGGTTCAATTGGCTTTAGTAAAACATTTTTAGATTGTCTGCAGCAATGTATTGGACAGCAACATAAATCCTGTGCATACGTTTTGCATCATCGACCGACAGGTCTTTGTCTTATTGAGCATCAAACGGATAATGAACGCCATCTTGATGTTCTTTCTGATTCATTTAGTATTCGTGCTGGTTGGACTATTGGTGTTGCAATGATGGACCGAAAATCCAAGAATATTGAGCCGGATTTTGTCATTGAAAATAAACCTGTTTACATTAGACTATTCGAACAACTTTTGATGGGAGAAGAGGATCGTAAATATTTTCTTGGTCGTTATCTTGAGCCTAAACGCCGATTAACAAATATGACTGATGTGCGGGAATGTGAACATTATTGCACAGCCATGACTGATCCAAAATGTCGATTTGTAGCCGTTTATGAAAAAGTGCTCGATGGAGACAACAATCAAACAGTAGGTTTTTCAAAGTTAAACTAATATTTTCAATCACTGATCATTATTTTTCCAAAATAGAAAACTTGCCTCCTGTTCAGCGATGATTTGATTCAAATTCTTTACAAATTGTTAATGACTGAACGTGCTAGTATGGCCAAAAGAGATCTCGAAACAACTGGCTTATTGGACAGACCATTTGAGAGAATGTCATCTCCAATTATTGCTGCTCGTAAACGTCGTGAAAGAGAACTGGAACGTGAAAGAGAAAATATTATTGATGATAATTATAATGAACTGTTTGGAACATTAGAAATGTCAGCCTATGTTTTTGATACTCCTGAGCCATTTCTTAAATTTAACATTCATGACCAAGCAACAATAAGAGATTCTGAATATTCGGTTGCGCCATCCTATCAAGAATGGTATGATGTTGACAGTGAAAATCTTTGTTATCGCCATTGTTTCAATTCGTGGTTACAATCCGTTGGCAACAATTCTCTTTCGAAGCATGATACCAAAAAAACTTTTGCAAAACCTTTATGTAGGTTTCTTGTGGTTAAATGGTATAAACAGCAGGATCGTCATTTTAATTGTACATTTTATGAATTAAGTCCGATTGCTTTTACGGAACAATCTTGGTTCACAGTGCGAAAGATGCCATTATCTGATTTTTCTTTCGATCACGTGATGGATTATTTCATTGAAACGCGTGACATGCAAACAAAAGGTAATCAGCTTCTAAGCGAATTAACCATGAGCGCTACCGATCAAAAACAATGTTTGTTCCGTTGTTTGCTCGCAAATACAATGGATTTATCATCGGGGCATATAACTCATTATTGTCAAAAATTACATATCGGAAAACTCAAAACTAATCATCTAAAATGTCGTTTCTATGGGAATGTCATAAATAACAAACTTGAGACTGATACGATTCGATTATTTCGGTTACGTAGTCTACCTGATCATAATATTAGACAATCAGATTCTGGATTCTATTCGACTATACCAGAAGATTCATTAGACGATTATTTTGCTACAGAGTCATTCAATGCTAGCGATTCCCCATCAGCAAATCATTCAACAATTGAACGTTTGCTTAGCCGTTATGAACCATTATATCGTTTGAACGGAGAAACAAATCCAAGAAACTGTCTTCGTCTGTGTTTATTACTTTGGGCTCGAACTAGGTCAGGTTATGCCGATCCAGATCGATGCCGAGTAGTGTTGGCCAAGCCTGACAGATCGATAAACAGCAAATATGAATGTATGATCTATGATATTGATATCGATGCACAATTGGCGCAGAAATCACAACACGAACGTTATAAAAAACAATTATCCCAATATCCGATCAATGTATATCGAGTTTTAAGAAACTCCAGCCAAAATGGTCGTCCCAAATTAATCATGCAACTGAATCTGACTGAATATGAAATCATGACTGACGAGCAATCAAACGAATTTGATGCTAAATGGAAAGCCCAATATCATTTTAGTCGAGCTTTGAATGCGAAAACTTGCTCACTATTTCGTCCTAAACGTCAAAACTCTGACAAACCAGAATCGAATGGATGGATTATTTTTGGTCGTCCAATGTTTATGTCCGATTCGATTCTTGCAGCACGTTTGTTGGTTCAATATGAGTGTTTGTATTACGATTATTATCCAAATCAGGATTATATAGAAGCGATGGATGTTCAAAAGATACAAACACCGATAGATGAACAAGTGCTCGTCTATCAATTAGTCGATACGGACACTTATGATTATGTCGAACCATCGATTTACAGTCAATCCTTGAATTTCATGCGGCAGTCGTATCAACCTATTCTGATTGCTACAGATAATATGACTACTGTTGAGGATTGCTTAGGTCGATGTTCCGAATATAATTACTATCGAACGAATCATCTTGATCAATGTCAATTGGTAATTATTGAGCCCAATCGCCGCTTATGGAACAATACCGAAGATTATCGTTGCCTGTTTTACAACTACAATGTAACTTTACAACGATATCCAGATCTAGATTGGTCTACATCTGTTGAATATTATCGATTACGTTCAATACCATCCTTCGTAACCACACGATTTGATTCCGACGAAATAGTCGATAAATATGATTCCTTTGAACGAATTGAAAATGAAGATGAAAAAGAATCAATCTCTAAATCAATTGTCAACAGCGGAAGACTGGCATTCTGGCATATATCTAACGTTACCGATCGCCATCAATGCTTAGACCGATGTGTTCGAACATGGGAATCAAAATTGCTATACTACAGTAATCCAACATTTTTGTCTTCGAAATCATCGAACTTTATTCAATCTCATTTTTGTCGATTGGTCATAATCATACCGGTTCGACAAGCTGACCAACAATTGCAGCATTTTGATTGTGCTTTCTATGAAACTAATTTTACTCAAGCCTTGAGTGCATTTTTGGTGTCTCGCCATAATGAAAAAGAAATTGGAGCGGAATACATACAGAGTCAAGATGATAGTCTTTATATGGCAGTCGAATGGCCACTAGTTTCACCCAAAGTGACCGATAATACACTGATGCTTAGTCGTCCAGTTGATTTGGCTCATTGTCTTCGTGAGTGTGACCGTAAATCAATTAACAGATGTCAGGCACTAATCACCCGATATGAAAATAATCGGTTGTTTCGATGCTATTTCGTTGGACTCAATGAATATCTACCTGATTGGGAAAATCGGCCTTTGGTTAATCCTCAATCAAAACTGTTGCTCAGGGTAAGTGAATGCTGTTATCAGTTATCTTTTATTGATACACAATTTCAATTTTTAGTTGTTTACGCTCAACGCTAATGATGGAAAAATTCCACAAAATGAAAGCTATATACAACCAGAATTACAAGATCCATATTTGGCAATCATTGATTCACTCCGTAATTACCAACATCATTAGTAACAATTTTGATAAGTCTAGACTTGCATTGTCGAATCTAGAATAATATAATAATATGCAATCATTTACTGTAATTATTAAATATGGACAATAAATCCAATTGTTTGGTCAATGTATTTCATTCGCATTCCATGTTTTTTTGATGTTTGCTCTAGTTTAAACTAGATTAATGCCGGTTTAGTAGCCGGGATGCAATAGAAAATTATTCATTTAAAATCCACGTAGGCCTTAAGGTAAATATCTTGGTCGCTTGGTTGCCATCGCCCTTCATAGCAGGATGTTTCACTTTTCCATTGACAATAATCTCTTGGATTAAACTATTATGGCGAACTAATCAGTATTTGTTAATCCCATAGCGAAATATCTTATCATTGTAATTCCTCAATGTAAATTGATTGCAATCATTTGATGGTTAGTAGGCTAGAAATGAGCATTCAATCATTTTTATTCTTGATTTGAATTTGTGCGTTTCTTTTCATCAATAATTTTTATTTTTTAAAATTTTACATTTTTCACACATAAACATTTCTTCTAAATAATATCATAAACACCAAATCCAGGCATGAAATTAATCAATTTAATCATGTCACCTTGGATAATTGTCCTTTTGTGGACAATCCTTGTTCACCAATCTGTGGCCATCGATAGTTTCATTGATCAGATCTTTGAAATGCCGGCAGTTGAATCGAACAAACTTGGTGAGTAAATGCAATAAATTAAAATCAATTAATTCATCGATTAGCTTATTATCAATAGAAGCAACTGTATTCGCTGATCCAAAAGACTGGATTACTATTAATAAAAGTTTTCCAACTGTTGAAGAACAGTCATGGAATGAATTCCGACAAGATAGTAGACGTTTTTTCTATTCATTAGGTCGATATGAAGTAGGTGCACATCGACTGACAAACGAAACAATTACAACATTGCTTGAAGATTATGATCGAACGCCATTTAATCGACTAAATTTTTTTTTCAAGGTAAGTCAGAGCCATAAAATGTCTATGAGAAAATTTAGCTAATCCAATTTGCTAAGATCTGGTATAATCAAGATGGTAATAAAGATGTCAAATGTGTCCGAAGCTATTATGTCTATGATGAAAAAATCGAGTTGCCATTGGACCGACCGGAAAAATGGGTCGAAATCAGTCGAACAATAATAATTAACGATCGCAAAGAATTAGTCAAATTAGCCAAAAAGTCATTGCTAACTATGAGTAATCTGAATGGCTGTGAAGATTCAATTTTAGCGTTGAAAGAAATTCGGATATCTTATGATCATTTTGATTGGAGTGATTTGAACAATACCATGATGATAAAAGAATTAAAACAACAAACAAAATCGATGTTCGAAATAAGCATGGGTACGAAGGTTGACCAATTAAATCTTTACAAATGCAAGGAACAAAATTGCATTTTTGTCTATGACTCTTCTATTCCACCAAATCAAAACACACCAGAAGGTGTTCAATTATTTCATTATCATCATTCTTCTAATGTCGATCTTTTCTTTAAATCACAAGACAAAATCTTAGAAAAAACAAAAGATTGGGATCAAAAATCCGACAACAACGGGTATATGGTTTTTCTGACACCGACAGGCTTAGAGAAAATTGACAAACACCCATTTACAATAGAGATAGAGCCAAAAGATGACGGTATCGTGGCTTTTAACTTTGAAGATAAAGCAGTCATTCCAATTGTCGAAGCCACTCAATTCGTATTGAATGAAAATCCAACACCAGACATGGTTAACAATTTTATCGACAATAAAAATGCTCCTGTATACTTGTGGCACAAAAATGAAACTAACAATGCCATCGAATCGGCAACTATCCTCCACGAACAAGTAGATCTTTCTGTCGACAATAGCAATCCTTGCTTAAAAATCGCTTACATATCGGATCGACCAATTAAGCGAATGAAAATCTGGTTACATATCAATTTTGAAGACGATTCCATACAAGAATTATACAATTTACATGAGCATCAACAATCAAATCTAACTGAAGAGACGCTTCGATTCTGTCCAACTGATTTCTTATACTTAGACAAATTAGCAAAACCTTCAGCTACAACAAAAGGACAGCTATATATTCAATTGATTGATAATGATCAGTCCGAAAACTTGATGTTCATCAGTGTCATGAATGAACAGAAACCAAACGAAATGAAAACAGAGGATAGTCATCATTTACCGCCATTTTTCTTTCCGATTTCTGACTCAAATTATCAGGTGTGGGCCAAATCATTGATGCCAATTCCTGATGTGGATGTCGAAAAGAATGGTGCTAAATTGATCATGAAAAAATTGAAATCCTTTGTCAAGTATTCTGTGTTTACCGAATGGATATCTTATGTTGACAATGATCAACTTACCTTGCGGCCATTAATACTATCATTAAGCTCTCAAGTAAAAGAAATACGTGCCAAACTATGTGATGTAACTAGCTTATGTATGGAATCAATCAAGAAAACGGCAATTTCCGCAGAAAAAAAATACTTGTTTGAATTTGAGCCTCATCTAAATCTCAAAAGTACTCACTTAAATTTACGTATCGAATTTATTACTGGAGAAGCTAATGAATTAACTATCGAAGTGATAAATTTTGGTAATCCATGTCAACCCATTTCAATTTGTGAGGGTACTAATAGCAAATGCGATCAAAGTATAACTGTTCGAGCAAATAACATGGAAGATGCTTGTTCTTGCAAGGAAGGATTCGATGGTAATGATTGTAGTCAAATAGACTTTTGTTTGGAAAAGGAATGCGCTACTGGAAGATGTTTAAATTTCAAAAATGATGCTAAATGTCAATGTGATAATGAAATCACCGATGGAATTCGTATCTATGATGAAACTGAAAAAAAATGTATCAAACAAAAAGATCCAGAAACAAATAAAGGCAAATCCATAATGCTCGACACTTCTCTTATTGATTTACGGTTATATGACATTTGTGTTTTTATTCAAAATATCCCAGATGAGAAACAGACCGTTCCACTTCACAAATTGAAATTTCAGTTTGATCAAGAAGTTTTAGTTGAAATGGAAGGAATAGACAGGAAACAATCTTATGAATTGTGTCTGAGTCATTATCTCAATCTTACCGCTTTAAATTGGGAACATCAAGGACAATTGATTTTAACTCTTGAACAAACTGATAATTCAATTATCAAATTCTATAATCCACCAAACGATTGGCAGCCTCCTATTCGCACTATTAATCTAAAAAATCATGTGCATTCAGTTGGAGTCGCCATTGAATCTTACAACATCACTGATAAGACAATTTTTTTCAAGTCTGAAACCAACAAACAGACAATATTGACTACACATTGGTTCGAAAATCCATATAGCATTTCAGGTGAATTAGAAACTGATCAAACGATTCGAATTGAAGTTGGCAAACCAGATCGACAACAAGTATGTTTTGCAATTGACAAAATTGATTGCCATGAATTTCTCGATATTGAAACATTAATTGGGATATTGAAAGAAAATTCGGCTCATGGTTTTCGTTTCGAATGGCTCTATAAAAATGGAATTGGCAATGGCCATTTTGAAGTCTCAGTCTTTGATGCCTGTTGGCATGGCTGTTCTGGTTACGGTAATTGCATAGCTATTGGATTAGAAAATTATCAATGTGATTGCGAAAATGATCATTATGGTAGAAATTGCCAACTTACTAAATGTTCTGAGGAAAATGCTGAATGGTGTCGAAAAAACATTGGCCAGAAATCAGAATGTGTACCGCTCACTGAAAAAGAATTTGAATGTCAATGTCCGATTGGCTATCGATTTGATTCAAAATCTTATCCATCCAGGTAAATAGTGAATAATTTTTGTCAATTCTATTACTAAATATTTTTGCAAATTGATAGCTGTCGACGAATAAACACAAAACGTAAATCGAAGATTTGTGGCACCACTATAGCGGATGAAACAAATCTACAATGTTTTCTGCAAAACTTGGCGCAAAAAATGAAATATCTTCCAGGTAATTTCCCTCAAATTGATCCATCTTTATTCAAATACAACCAACCGTCCATATATTACACTGGTAAATCGGGTAGCCATATAAAAATCGACGACATAAGCTTATCAAAAGATGACAAAAACGATATTTGCTTGAGTTTCAGATATTTTTTGGCAGGTCAAAATGCTCGATTAAATCTTACAATGATGTCAAATGGGGAAAACGAACAAAATCTTTTTCAAATTAAAGGAATAGAAATGTTAAAACATACTAAAGAAATAATTCATGATGATCGTCGATCAGTGATGTCTTTTTCAAGTGATATGGAAAAGCTTTGTATAAAAGAAATGATTGGCCTGAAACAAATAGAAGAATTAAAATCTTTGACCATCGTAACAACTTTTGACCACCAATCTAATGATCTTACTTTGATACAAATACATGGCATTGAAACACAGCCTATTGGACAACGAATTTCAACTGAACCTTGGTTTTATATTAGCCAAACAAAATCCGGTCTTAAACAGTTGCTCAATTCTAATGGTGGTTTAATCGAAAAAATTGCTAAAAGTGATTGGTGGCCTTTTAAATTCCCTAACAGACGATGGGAAGACAGAAAGGTTGATGATAATGATGAACCAATGATTATATCGTTAATTTCACAACATTCAGATACCACTGGATTTGCTCAGCTTGAAAGTCAATGGTTACAGCAAGCTATAAATAAACCGACAACCATGACCATCAAACTAAATTCTATGAAACCAAACAATCTACAACATGTACACATCATTTTATTTAATCAACAACGTCAACCATTGTACGATGTGGGTACTTATCGTGTATTCATCAAAGAAGACGTCAAAGATAATGAAGACAAACAAGATGTAATTATATTGGGCGAAAAAAAAGTGATCAATGTGCCACAATTGAACATCAACAAGGAAACCCTTTACAAAGTAGTTATTCAATTTTATTTCGATGATCCTGTTTCATCAGTAAATAAGCAAATTCTTTTTGAATTGATGGATTTTACATTCAATGATCCATGCGTTCATAATGACGGTAAAAATCAGAAATGTTTAAATTTAAAAAATGAACATGATCCGAATATCAAATGTTTGAGAGACGTTTCAAGTCGTTCAAACATCGATTATCAATGTGATTGTGATTTCGAAAATGGTGCCAAAGGACGTAATTGCGAAGATAAAAATTATTGTAAATTTCGACATCAAGACTACAATATGGAAAAAATCAATGGGAATCAATATTGTGCGATTGGGCATGGTGAATGTCATGAAGGTCGATTCAAGCAATATTATTTTTTCTGTGAATGCAAAAATAATTCGCTTTGGTTTCAAATGGAACAAAAGAAATGTCTTCCAGTGCAACAATGTCTGCTTGATATGCCGGGCCAATTAGAACGACGTAAATGTCATGAGGATGAAACCAATGAAAAATGTCTTTGTAAATGTAAAACTGGTTACAAAGTAGATCCAAATGATAAGAATAAATGTGTGGTGAATGATAGCGACAAATGTGATCCGGGATTTTGTCCTGATGAGCGAATGTTTTGTGTGAGGCAAGGTTCCCAACAATTATGCAAATGTCCTCAAGGTTTTAAATTCGATGGACAAAAATGTAAATCTGATTTATGCCTATTTCCTTCCATGAATCCTTGCCAGCAAAAATGTAAACCTAAAGATGAAGAACCATACTTTCAATGTGAATGTATTGAGCGATATTATACGGCCATCATTGTGACAGATCCAACAACCAATGTCAGTTATACCAAATGTGAATTACGAAAGGATGTACCAGAGCCATGTCAGCAATGTACCGGCCCTAATCAACTATGTGTTGATGGCCAATGTCAATGTAGAGAAGGATTTGAAGCAAAGCGATCATCAAGTGACCAGATTGAATGCATTATTAAAGGTAAGTGGATATCTAATCTACTCAAGTTCCATGTTAACTTTTGTTCCACAGATCTTAAGATGGCTTGTCCAAACAATAAACTGCATGTTGATTCATTGACAAATCGAATAGTTTGTGAATGTACGGACAAAGATTTAACTGATTGGTGGCAACAATTGGACAATGGTTCATGCGGATTGGTCAAAACTGCCTGTGATGAAAACGAACAAGGTGATCTAACATGTCGCCGTTATGGAGCATTATGTGTTCTCAAGTCAGATCATCCAGATAGCTTCGAATGCCTATGTCCACATGGATATATGTTTGTCGATGAAACTCAATCAAAAGACGACAGTTTTTTGATGAAAAACCAACTGTCTGGATGTCATCCAGTTTGTGAGCTACCATATTATGACCAATTATGTTCAGCAATTGGTGGTCGTTGCAATCCTAGTAAATTATGGCCTCTACTTTATCATCGTACTTCGAAAGATGAAATAAAATCGAATTATTGTGATTGTCTACCGGGTATGTTCCCTGACAATGATAACGATGGTTATTTCTGTCGACAAGAATCAAACGTAACAGCTTATCGAATGTTACATAAATGGACGGTTGAATTACAAAATGAATTCGAAAATCGTATGGATGAATTCAACAAATTACTGGGAAGATTTTTCAGTTATTCGAAAATACTGGAAACATCTCTCAACAATAACAGGTAATCATGAATCATCAAAAATCGGCATCACAAATAATGAATTGTCGTTCTTATAGGTTGGATTACATTGATCCAATCAATTGGGCTAGAGCACAAGTTCGTTCATTAAAAATTAATGAAGAACGAATTCAAAATAAGCGAAATGAATGGAACGCATTGATAAAAGAACAAGTGTTGCGTGAACAAGTTCGTATCATGATGGCAAATTTTGGAGTAGTTGAACACGAATTCCAGTTGGATTTAGTTCGAATGGATTCTGAACAAATCGAGAACAATTCAACAAGCGCAAATCAATATCAGGTGATAGTCTATGGTCGTGATGTCAATACAGACAAAAAAATCAAATGTTTAAATCATGATAATTGGTGTTTGATTCCGTACTTACAAATAGCATTTGAAACTAAAATTGAATCATTTGAGGTAATCAAATCATACAGTTATAAAGTTGTCTAATCACTAAATTTCGATTTGATTGTTTATTCAAAAAAAACATCTATATAGCCGTGTAGCCAAGTAAATGTTTGTCAAGGAATGTCCGATTGTCATGAATCTAAAGGGTACTTTTCCTGCGAATGTAATCCGGAATATTTTGTAGTGGAAAAATCGTATCCATTAAAAACAAATGATCCATCAGCCATCAGTAAAAATGAACGTTGTTTAAGCAAAGCGTTATGCGGTAATTGTACGGACGATAATCAACAATGTTTCGAAATGGATCCAGTTCGAAGTAAAGATGATAAAAGTAAATGGCTAAAAGAACGATTATGTGGATGTCAACCTGGATATCGACGAGATTCAGAACAGGAACCTTGTGTCAGTGTTTGTCAACCGGATACATGTGGATCGGGTGGTGAATGTTTACCCATTGGTAATGACTATAAATGCCACTGTGATAGCGAACATTATGGAGAAAGATGTGAGAATGAATTCGCTTCAAATGTAGGATGGATCGTAGCCATCGTCATACTCTCATTGGTTGTCGTAGGGGCAATAGCCGGTCTAGCATATGTGCTGCTTTTTAAAAATAGGTAAGTTAATCCTTTACTTTTTCATGTTGTACTCATCAACACCCGAACGCTCATTTCGGACTTCATTGTCATCTTTTCATCTTGGACAGAACAAATCGATCATGACTTATATTCTATCTTCATTCTCGATTCTTATGCCATTCTTATGTTCAGGTCAACGAATAAAGCTGATTCACGTTCATCTCCAACATCATCATCATCATCATCAGAAACACTCGAATTTCACCAGCGGCAGGTTAATGTAAAAATCATTGAACCCACCCAATCCAACGCCATCGATAATAGATTATCGTCTAATCAGAACAGCACAAATCCGACAATAAAGATGATTCATTCGCAAGAATCTTCAACAAATCGATCGAAACATAGAATGGCTTTAATCACTCGCAATCGTGGTTCATATGATATAACACAGTCATCATGATTGAATTGTTTTTTTTTCATTTGTAATCTTGTTATCAAATTGAAGAGTTGTTGACATTAAAACATATTTAGATATCATTCCCATAATACCATTGTTTCCAATCTTTGAATGCTTGCTTGATCGGTAGTGCAGAATGGCTGAATTTATCGATCAGGTATGGTCGAATCGAAAGAAATTTTTTTTCGCAGTTGATATGTTCTAACTCATTCACCTGTGACACGTGTAATACAGGCATAAAACATGATGACAGGTGGCTGTCATTTTTGTCTACCCTGTAATCAAAAAACAAATACATTTGCACAGGAGACAATCAATTGATTGATTCCGGCAGAAGTTGTGTGAAAACACGCGTCATTTTCGAATACAATGATTTGAAACATGATTTCATTGGGTCATTATTAGAGGTTACATTGGTAAGAGAAAAAAAAGAAATCGGGATTGAATCATGCTATCAATGTCAAAAACAGATGCAAGATAGTATAAAAGAGAGAGAGGGAGTGAGAAAGAGAGAAAAGGCCATGTAGATCGCTATCAATATAAGTAGCAATGAAGATAGCATCAAACATATAATTATTACTTAAAACCAGAATGGCTGTCAATCATAAATCGGTTGATCAATAACCAAACAAGAAAATCAAAAAATAAAGCTGTTTGTTTTTTGTGCTTGCGTAATTAGTCATCGTCATCGAATTTTGATAATAAATAATATTGAACAAATGAATTCGATGGATCACATAGCTTTGACAATAATTAAAGTCATATAAATCGAGCTATCACCAGAAGGCATTCTCGAGACTTTATGAACGATCAAAGTCCTTTGATTCAATCGGTTGTTTACGATCAAAGATATTGATTATATAAATCAAATCGAGCATGTGAGAATGATTATTTATCAAATCTAATCTTTCTATTGATATGGATCAAGCTTGATTGATATATTAAAATAAGTATATAACGTGCACTATGTCAATGTCATTATCAAAACTAATGATTGCCTTGATCAATGATTATGTCTTCTTGTTTATGAGTTGAGGACCATCATTATTGATAGCAACAATATTAGCCACATCAGTAATGCACAAACACACATAGCACTAGGCATTCCTAACAGATTATGGATTGATGCCCACGGTGGCAAAGTCGAACAAAAGCAACCATCATTAAGTCGATGCGACCAATTGTTTTTCACCGATTTAAATTTTATTTATTTTACGTCAGACCAACTGCTGTGTTTGTCCTTTTTATTGTTCAATCATTTAGTTGGTAATTAATTCCATCACAGGCTACAAAACTTTGCATTAATAAATTGAAAAGACTCCTCCTTGTTTGTAAAGCATTTTAATGACATCGAAGAGCATAACTCTTTCATCGAAGGGTCATTATTGTTTTTGTGTATGTTTGTAAATGTGTGCGGGAGTCAACCTGAACTGTGTTACTGGGCGCCAATAACAACATCAGTCGGGCAGGTACAGCCTACTAAAAGGTTTGGCTTGTTCACTTCTTTCTTTATCTTCTTTAGCTTTTTGGTTGCCCTATCTAGCTATTAGGCGTGTGTGTTTTGTTTCTGTTCAATTTATTCGAGTTTTGATCGGATCAATAGATCTCTGGTTGTTATTTGTTAAAGTTTTCATTCACACATCAATAGGAACGACAATTTTATCGATTTATCGTTATCGATATAATGCATGACCATTGATAGATATATGAACCCATCCATACATTTGATGATCAATCGAAATCGTCATAACAACAACTGTGCTTGTTTGTAATTATATTTGCATTCGTATGCAATGAATGTGAACGTCAATAGAATCCATCAGTTTATTTTTCATTTGTTATTTCTTGTGCGTGGATGTGCGTGCCTCTCCTGAAGTTAGTTTGAAAAAATTACATGATGTTTACTACCGGTAGTAATTCTCATGAATAAACCTCAGGCAACAATAACCGGTAGTTGGATGAATATCCATGACAGCAATTCTAATAATCAGTCTGTTTGTCGAATTGATTATCGGTCCAATCCTACATTAGCAATGGCAGCAAAATTTCAATCATCAAATCATCAAATGAGCAATGGATCTTACCACGTTAACCATTGTACATATGATACGGATCCAAACAACACTGTTCATTCCATCAACATCAGTAAATTTGAAAATCAAATTCAACAGCAGCAAACTGGCACATCTTGTGGCTCATTGTCCGTTTATCCATTGTCGTCATCGATTTACAGTGACCAACAAAAATCAACAATAATGATAGATATGATGAAAGCCTATGGAAAAGAAGGATCAACTCCGTTTAGCACATCTTACAACGAAAATGTCATTGCACAGATATCGCCGCATGATTGGGATGACAGTAACATACGACAATCATTCATGCAAAAGCCATCAAGTAGAAGAACATTAAGCGAGAATAGAGCAATCGTTTCATCAAATGAATATTACACGAATGAAAGCTACAGGCACAAGAATCGCATAGTGGCATCATCACCACCGTCATCAACGAAAAATATAAAAAGAGAAGAATGTCTATCTTTACTGGCATTAGCATCTTCATGCACAGATGCTGCTGCTCGTCATTGTATTAGTCACGAAACTGATGCTAGCGATATATCAAATTCTTACATTTCAAAGATGAGCACTAAAATTAAAAGCATCGAAGAACGTAGCATTCGATTGACGCCCAATGGTAATAGTCATAACTATGAACATGTTGGTGTTGATGATGATGATGATGAACATTCAGATTCTAGTACAACGGCATTCAGTCCTTCATCTTGTTGGTCTCCCGCATCAGCATCCACATCACCAGGCTCGATTTCTGCTGCCATTGCTGGTGGTGGCAGTAACCACCAGAATCTTCATCAGAATCAACAACAATCACAGAATTCAGGTCATAACGAACAACCTAAGGTTGTGAATAGCCATAATGAATATGATCATAGTTTTTCAGAAATTAGTCGTCATCATTCTACGATAGCTTCATCATCTACAACATTATCAACACAACCACCACCACCACCACCACCATCATCATCATCATCCTCCACTTGTCATCGTTTGATTTCGGTCTCGGCTTCGAGCCAGCAATATTATCCATCTTCGACGAACGCGGCAGCAGCAGCAAGACAACAACAACGACAACATTATCAACAATCTCAATCGATGGCCAGTCCGGTCATTCTAGATTGTAAATCACAACCATCAATAACTGGAGAGACCGATAATTCAATCGGTAATTGTCCCGAATCCATCAAGACGATTTCAAAATCAACTACGGGCACCAAACAAACAACGGATTTGTCCAAGGACAGATCCCGAGAAGTGAGAGACGTCTCTTTATCATCATCATCAGCATCATCACCAACAAACGGTAGGCTACAGAGAAATTCTACATTGAATACTTCCGTTACTAGCAACAATTCGGAAACTGTTGGCCACACGATGACCATTGGGCAATCACAACGACATCCGAATCATCATCAACAACAGCAATCTTCCTGTACAACTCCGCCTACTTTTATTGTGCGATCCAATCATAACCAGTTATCGACATCATTATCCACTGCAGTGAGTACCAATATAAGAGCCAGCAGCAATTTGGCGAATTCAGATCCAATGAATTATCTTCCTTTGGTGAGTTAGGGTTCCGGCAGTTACAGTTATTGATCCACTTCCAGGCAATTTAATTCTGTTGCCTAGCAGAAGAAAGGAAAAGCGCCACAAGTGTCACGCCAATAGATTATCATCACAATGTTGATGGTAGTGACAAGTTGTAACAAGTTGATATATGATGACATTATAGACCGTTAATGTTAATGCTATAAATAGTCAAATGTGTAAATGGCGCCCGGTCTCCCGTATGCGTTTGTATGTGTGACCAGACCAGCAACGATTGATGCGCGCATCTGTCACATGTCAACAGCGCTGTCCTCTGCTATTTTTGTTCGCTTTATTGTCTCATACATTCTTTATTCGTATATGGCAGGATGAATTCCACCCATTCATCGAAGCACTGTTACCATTCGTAAAATGTTTCTCATATACATGGTTCAATTTACAAGCTGCAAAACGGAAACATTATAAAAAACATGAGAAACGCATGAATCTGGCGGAAGAGCGACACTGCAAAGAGCAACTGCAGGTATGAAATGAAATAATTATTTAGCAAAATGTTTGATAAATTGTTGGATACTTTAGAATGAGCGACTTGAAGTAAAGCAAAAATGGGCATCACGATTATTAGGGAAACTGCGCAAAGACATAACACAAGAATATCGCGAAGATTTTGTCTTAGGAATCACAGGCCGCAAACGTATTAGCTGTGTGTTGTCTAATCCAGATCAAAAAGGCAAAATGCGCCGCATCGATTGTCTAAGACAAGCGGATAAAGTATGGCGTTTGGATTTGGTCATGGTCATTCTGTTCAAAGCAATACCACTCGAATCGACGGATGGTGAACGGTTAGAAAAATCTCCTGATTGTCATTATCCCAATCTATGCGTCAACCCATACCATATCAATGTTTCTGTTCGCGAATTGGACCTATATCTCGCCAATCTCATCTTTTCTCATGGTAGGCAATAAATTGCCGTTTACTTATTAGATTTACACTATTACCCCTTATCGGAAATAAAATCTGCATTTTTGCATTTGTAGAGCATTTACGTGGTATTCCTCCCCCAGCCACCACAGAAACCCAAGGATCAAGCTCGAATAGCAACACAGGAGCAAGCAGCACCGACAATGACGATCTTACACACCATCACCAAGAACAACAAGCCCAGACAACAGCTATCAATCCATGTTCGGTGGTGTTCACTTCCGAAGAATTGTTTCGATTATCTCGAGGTTTGTAATTCACTTAAACACTGATCTTTGTAATCGTTAACCCAATCAATTAGCATCAATAACTCAAACTGGTCAGATGGTAACTTATCCACAACAACAAGACGAAGAGCAACAACAACAACAGTCGCAACTAGGCTCATTGGTTCATGATGTCAACATGGCAGAAGCAATGGCTTATCTATCAACACAGCAACAACAAATCAATTCATCAACATCATCACCCTCTCCTCATCCGCTCAATTACACATTGAGTCATACGCCTACAAACACTGTTGATAATGTTTCTGATTTAGGAAATGGCGGAAGTGATTGTCATCATTCTTCAAGTACACGAATGGGTTCGGTGGCCGCTTCAATCAGTCAGCCATTCCATGGACAGCAAGAACAATCACCAATTAATGCTCACCATCATCATCATCATTCTAGCGTTTTTAACAATCTCATCTATAGTAATCAGTTTAGTACAGGTGGTCAACATCATTCAGAAACAACCAGCAATAACAACAATCATCAGCAACAATCACAAACGGTGGTAATAAAGCTTGAAGAATATCCTGATGAGTATTACCAACATCATCATGAACAGCAGCAATCAGAATCTCTTATTGGAGATGAATCGTCGGCTGCTGCAGTTGTTGGAACTACGACCAGCGATCAAGAGTCATTTTACACATTGTTGGCAGCTGCAGCGGCCACCACATCGGCCTCGACCACTACAACGGTAGCAACAAACTCTAACATTTCTAGTCAGCAACAATCAAATAGCTTGCGGCGATCAACTTCGGCCATTTCGCCGCATATAAATAAACGACAACGTCTTCTCAACAATGACCAATGCAATTTAGCTTTTATGCAACATTCACAACCAGCGAATGCTACAACCCAACTACTACAGCGTCATTCGCTTATGCTAGACACTAACGTAAATCTACTGAATCTAAATCATTCGCATCATCAGTCTGCCATAAATACATCGGACAACGGAGCTGAAAGTAGTTGGATGTCAACTACTAATGAAAGCGGATGGCAGTGTTCAGGTGAAACCGATACAAATTCAGATGCAATGATAAAAAAAGAATCCTCCATGTGCGCCATGTTGGTCAGCGTACATGATCGGCGTCATCCATCAATTGATGAACAAGTGTTAACGGCCACAACTTCATCTTTCGGTGTTGGTGAACAATATGAATACCAACATCATTACGAACAATATCATCATGGCCAATCAGGTATGTCATGAAAATAACAGATTTGATTGATATTCAACACTTTGCCAAAATCAGATGTAGGTTACATTGGAATGGATGGCTCAACCAGTCATGGAGCTAGCGGTGATGTCACAACATCAACTACTAGTGATATAAGATCTCCAGTCGCTAGTTCTAATGTCGGGCCTGAAACTTCATCAATTCTGGAGCAATCATCACATATCCATTCGTATGGTCATCATGTACAATTAGCAATGACTACCAGCATGGATCATACCAATGATAATCAAAATGAATCGGCCATTCAAGGACATTCAAATCAGTCGGAATGTTCCATGGAAATTATTCATCATCCTCATCAACAACCGCAGCATGCAAACCCAATCAAAGTGAAAGAAGAAATTCATGATGATGTGGCCGGAACTGAGTGATAGCAAAGTTATAAGTGCAATAGACATACACAAACAAAATAAAAATGTAAATCTAGCTGCGTACTTTCGAATGAATCTATTTTTGAGCAGCATTAAAGCATTACAATAGAATTGAAATAAAGTTTTCGTTAAAGTCTTTGTCACTTTTGGTGTTATGATCAGAATAGTACTTACCTCTGATTCAATAGTGTTAAGGTTGAATAAATGCATTATTGGTTGGACGATGGCTACAAACAATTGAAGTCATTTTGACATATAAATTATTGATAGCTGAAAAATGGATTGTTTTGATTCTATTTAAAATGTAATAGAGAATATGGCAAGAGGAAGCTCTCGAAAGCAAGTGATTGTGATTATGATGATTGGATGGCGGGTGATGAGGGCAAATCAAAAAGAAAAATTTTTTTGGCTCCATTCTTAGGCATACAGCCATGTCTTAGTCTCTCGCTTTCTTTTTTCTCCTTGTGGATGATATTAGGGAATAATATTCGATCCTGGCAACCGTTTGTTTGTTGTTGAGCAAGCCAAAAAAAACGCAGCATCAAATATTTTGGCACACACAATGGCAGCGACATGAAGAATGTTGGAAACAAAACAAAATTGAACAGCCGAATACAAAAAAGTCAACGGTGTTGGAATCAACTTATCATCAATCAATACAGCGATAGATCATACACCTTGTTTAAATGACCACAATAACGTGTTATTTTCCGGTTTTTAAAGTAATGGAAATTGGCCATGTGATTTTCGGCCAATTATCGCTTTATCAAACTTTAATTTGTTGAAATAAATTTATTTACATTCTATAATTTAATATAAATTGATTTAATTTTCCGGAAATTCGGATTAATGCAAACACGAAAGGCGTTTTCCATGACAGTGATGATCAAATTAGAATCATCAGATGGCAGTAACATTAGAACAAAAAGTAATTTGTTATTGAAAACTATAGTTACCTTGAAGGGACAATGGGAGAAAGGACGAGAGAATGAAATGAGAGAATAAATGGCTCGATGCCACACTTCTTAATTCGAAGCTAAAAATAATCAAACGAATCAGAAGACAAAATAACCTAAATGTTGATGTAAAATGTAAAACATCAAATCAATCTGGAATCGAGGCTGTAATTTTCCAGAACGATTGCAACCATTATGATGACGTCCGACAATATTGCTTGCTTGTTTATGATGGCAATCATTGTACATAATATTTGCTAGAATATGAACACCGACTAGTATTGTCCGTTCTGTTAATTCTGTTAATGACGGTGAAAGCAAAACATGATTCTAATGACTGTATAGAAAAAAAAGAAAGAATTAAGCACAATGAATGGCTGTCGATGATATCTTTGTGTGATGATTATCTATTTTATTCTGTAATGAGCTTAATTGATTAATTAATTGCAGTGTGTGCGGTACGAAACTATTGTTATCTTTCATCACCGCCTCGTTGACAGACTCATCTATTGTGTTTAGTAGAGGAATCCCACAGATCGATTTTGATTGTGTAGCTGATAATTACTCGATTCAAATTCATGCCGACAATCGATAATGATATGGCCGTTTTCCGAATGGTTTTCATGATAGAATAAGGGAATAATAAGAATCATCGTCATGGATGATAAAAAATCTGCATGCACAAAAGCTTAATGCAACTGTTGTATGTTCCATCGAAAAACAGATTTGTTTTTCGGTGTATCTTGTAAATTTAAGTGTATGAAAAATAATAATTTTTTTTTTGGCTAGAAAAAATTTCTAAATTTGTCTTTGATGTTTTTGTAAATGATCAGATGCCCCAAATGTCAGTCTAACAATCACTACTGTTGTTACTGCTGCTGCTACGATGTTTCGATCTCATCGGTAAGAATTGAAATTGGTGATGGGATGGTAAAAAATGGTAGGCCATTGCGTCAAGGATGTATTCAGCGATGAACAAAATATTTTCTTTGATTTTCTTGTTGCCAGTTTTATACAAAATTTTTTTTGGGTGTTGATTCGAATAAAGCATTCTTTATTTCGAACGCTTTATTCGGTATTGGTTGACTTATTTGTTCGTTTGCTAGCTTTAACCATATTTTCGACCTCACTTGTACGGAAAAAACAGAGAAAATTTCTTCATTCGTCATCGTTGCTCTTCTATCCACTTTGTCGCTCTTCACCATCAACCATAGTCGTTTCATTAGATTCTGTCCACAATGGTAATTTCTTATAATGATTTTATCGATCTATTGATCCATTTATTCATCGAAATATAGGGTGATGCCAAAGCCAAATTCGATGAGAAAGAACGTAAAAAATTGGAGATTCGAGCTCGTCTCGAAGCTCAAATGAAAAGCACCAAAAAGAAGGGCTTTATGACGCCTGAACGTAAAAAGGCCCTCAGGGTAAGTATCAAAGATATAAGCTTGTCAATCATTTTGATAATCAATTCCAAAAGAATCTACTGCGACGAAAAGCAGCTGAAGAGGTGAAGCGACAACAGGAAATCCGAGAACGTGAACGACAAAAAGCCATTAGCGAACGAACTGGAAAGCCGAAGCCAACTCATGATTGCAATGAAGGTTTGAACTTAGACAGATAATTTTTCTTTTGAATTAAGCTGTTTATGTTTTCATATTGATTAGCTGCATTGATTGCCATCTGCAAAGAATATCATAATCGCATCTACAAACTTAACGAAGAGAAATGGGATCTCGAATTGGCTGTATGCCTCAAAGAATACGAGATTCAAGACTTACAATCACGAGTGAATGACATGCGAGGCAAATTGTAAGTTTCATTAACAATCAATATTCATTCGATTTATTTAATTTTTTTTTATTATTCAAAATCAATCCTGAACATAGCATAATTCCACCGCTGAAAAAGGTGTCCAAATATCAAACACAATTGGAAAAGATGCGTCAATGGACGTACAAATTGGCTAAGATGGATATGCGTGGAGGCCTTAAACAGGTCAAAAAGGAAATTGAATTGGATGAAAAATTGACAAAAAAAGACAACAAACCAGAATGGGCAGCATCAGTACAAAAAGATACAGCTAAAGCTCAATGATCATTCATCATTGTTCAATAGCTTACTCTTTCTAACCTTTATGCGATCGTTATTTCTATTTATTTATCTATCTCTCAGATATTAATTTGTAAGATGAATATTATGTGTCAAGCAAAGCTATAGTCGAATCATCAAGAAGTTTGTTGAAATTCTTGAAACGAAATGTATGAATCAGTTCGTTTGATTAATGTTTCGGCCCAATAAAATCTCATTACTTAAACAAAACATTTTTCTCTTTTAAATTTATTCATCAACAATTTAATTAATTAAAAAAAATATTAGCAAAGTAATCCAAATCGGGACATTCCAGGAATTAATCGTTGAGTATGCGAATGATGCTGAATCTCATGTGTATCAGTAATTATTGACAGGTTTTTCAACTCATCAATCAGCAATGAATATTAAAACTATAGGCCAGAAGATCCTAAATGAATTATCAACTGTTATATAACAATAAAATATTAGAATTTAAAATAAAAACAACTCACCATAGATAACAAGGCAATAATGATGTCAATTGACAAATATGGGTACACAAGTTATCTATTTTTATTTTTGAAAATTTTTGAAAGTTAAACCATGTTTAAAATGATAGAAATTCAGGTTAAACTCAATCCAGCAATAACCAAACGTTTCGCCCGTCATAGATAATGTGACCCTTGTAAATGCATGAATTTATCGTTGGCATTTCAATGACCAGACAAGATATATTTTGACGATTCATTAACCTAAACAAACAAAAACACTAGATTTGATTAAATTGGCAGTGGTACTTTTTATTCTATTCACTGGATAATGAACATCGAAGAAGTATTGAGATATAATCCACCTACCAGCAGTTTTTCAACTACCGACGAAAATGATAACAATGAAAGTCAATCGACCTCCAAACCAAAACGCCTACGTTTAGATGACAATCCAACGACATCCACGATCCGAGTTGGACATGTTAACGCTGAAGAAATTGACAAATTACTCTCGAAAACTGGCATCGAACATGTAAATGAAATTGATTCGGAAACATTTAAACGTTTGATCTTACAATTGGAGCGGCGTCAATTAAAAAATCAAGAGATGCGTATCAAACATGCAGATAATCCTACCAAATTCATGGATTCCGAATTCGAACTGTTTGATATAATTAAAGAAATGCATGTGATTTCCACTCAACCATCATTATACGATACGGCAATACAAATGAATTTATTGCCTCAGCTGTTAGGTTTGCTGTCGCATGAAAATACTGATATTGCCTGCTCTGTAGTTGCTTTGATACAAGAATTGACCGATCTAGATGACGTGGATGAGATCGAACAGGTCGGTCGTTTGATGGATGCATTGATTGATGGACAGATAACTGTAGCATTGGTAGCCAACATGGAGCGATTAGACGAAAATGTACGTGAAGAGTCTGAAGGCATCTATAATTCGTTGGGTAAATTTTTTTCATTTTTATCTTTTATCATTATTTTATTATATTGCATCTTTCATTATTATTAGCAATCATCGAGAATCTTACCGATTACAAACCGGAACTGAGCAAAGACGTTAAACCGTTGTTACTTTGGCTACTGCGAAAACTCAAATCCAAGTCACCCATATTTTCAGCGAATAAATTGTATGCATCGGAAATACTGTCCATACTGCTACAGAATAGTTCAGATAACCGTTCCATGGTTGGCACATTGAACGGAATCGACATCCTATTACATGTTCTTTCTGTAAGTTTCTGTATATTTAACTGAAAATTGCTACATTGTCCTAATAATTATCATTTAGTATTACAAAAGACATGATCCATCTACTGCCGATGAAGAAGAATATGTTGAAAATCTATACGATTGTCTATGTTGTTCATTATTTATGTCTAGCCGAAACCTCGAGCTTTTTATTCAGGCCGAAGGAATCGAGCTGATGGTGTTGATACTAAAAGAGAAACGAAAAAAACATTCCCCTACAGATGTGCGTATTGGTGCCTTGAAATTATTGAGTCATTGTTTTAGTCATGTCGCTGACGATCCAACGGCTGCACAGCTCATTACAACATTAGCCGATAAATTTATCGAAATTCTTGGCCTTCGTGTACTTATGCCCATATTTCTACGACCCAGTTCAATAATTGGTCATGTTAGTGGTAGTCGGCGGCGAAAACAAGCAGCCCTGATCGATCAGATCGAAGAACATACTTTGGTCATAATCGGTGCTTTACTTAAATTTACTAGCCGTCCCGAACTCCGTGATCGTATATTGAACAAATTTATTGAACAAAATTTTGTCAAAACTGAACGACTTGTCGAATTACATCTCAAATATTGGGAACGCCTGAGACAATTCGACGACCGTAATAAAACAACATTATCAAACCAAGAGACTGTAGAACAGTGGTTTTTAATACGATTGAACGAAGGTGGTCTTTTCATTCTGCAACTCATTGATCAAATCATCGTCATGATTTCTTCATTCCGTTGGGAATCATCACAGCCTTCATCAACACTATCATCTGTCGAATATTCCATCAAACAACGAATACATCGATTGTTAAATATGCATAGTAACACACAAAGAAATTTGGATCATGTTCAGGTGATCAAATCTATCGTTACCGAATATATTGAAGAGAAAAACGAAAAAAATAACCAGACGCAAGATGATTACCTTTTGAAATGTACACAATCGTTTTAAATAAAATTGATTTCAACAAGTGGAACTGAATTATTTTAATTAGTTGACTTAAAGACAGCAACAAAACAAAATTAACCATCTGTGGGTGTCCCAATTTGGTATTATTGGCCGAGTGGGGCGGAATTTTTGTTTATATCGTATTTACAACTATATTTTTCTTGTGTATTAATTGGGTTAGTAAAACAATTTGTGTGTGTGTGTGTAGGGTAAAAATGAAAGCTGAGTCGATTGCCCCAATTGAAAGTTTGGCGTATTAGGATTTTTCTTAGTTAGCCCAAGCAGCCAGCTCTTCCAATTCATCATCATCTTTCTGTTTGCTTCCGGGTGTTTCTATAAAATCAAAAGAATTAGAAATCGTTTTAGCAAATGAGTTTTGTGTTTTGAATAAACACTTACTTTTCTTGACCGGCTCGGCCGAAGGAACCTCTGGAAGAGGTTCAGTTTCGCCCGTTTCCAACAATTGTTTGTCTATTTCTTCTTGTTCAAGATCTTCCAACTCTTTCATCAGGTCATCTTCATCGACATCATTTTGGAATCCAATTGGATTGGAGATGACATTAGATATTTCATCGGCGATCTGTTGTTGTTCACGAACTTCGTCCATCAAATCTTCGACCTTATCAATGTCCATATTATCGTGAGCTTGTTTCAAGGCCTTGGCGGCACCGCCCATAATCTTCAATACTTCCGTATTGGTGTTAGCATTTTCCAACGCTTCACGCTGATATTCGATCGTTGTTAAAGTACCTGAGAGATTTATAAATTGAATTTGAATCAAAAATCCATATCAATACAAAAACTTACCGTCGATTTGTTCAAGTTGTTTTTCAATCCGTTTCTTGCGTTTTAAAGCTTGTAACGAAACACGTTTATTTTTGGTACCATTTTTCTTGATTATCAATAGTTCTTCATCACGTTTCTTTTCAAGAAATTCAACCTTTTTAGTTAGCATTTCTTCGACATCTCGAAGCCGTTGAATTGCTTCACCAGGCGTTGGTGCCTTGGTTTTTGATTTACCACCGAATAAATTTGATAAAAATGACATTGTGCTTCTTTTATAATTGAAAAAATATCAAATGTAAAAATATGCAAACAAACTAAAGCCAATAATTGATTTTATATTTTATTAATTTGATTCCAAATTGGCTGATAGTTATTGCGTATACGATATTGATGTTTTTCAATACAGCCAATGGTCAATCTGCTTCAAAACACAGCAAAACAGTATTAAGCTGTTGCGACTAAAAAGCCAAGGCAGAATGAAATCTGTATACGGAGTATTCAGAAAAACGCTCACAAGATCAGTTCGTCACCGATTACTATTGATGTTCACACAGAAAAAAAATTTAGTAGTGTAAACTATCATTTGATTGGGTGCCCGAAACTGAGCTTTGGTAGTGCACTACTATTTGGTATACACACTACCAATCAGTGTAGCATTTGAATGGTAGTCCACTACTAGCTGGTATGTTACACTATCAATCAGTATAGCATTTGAAAAGTAGTGCACTATCAATCAGTATGGCATTCAAAAGGTAGTGCACTACTGTGGTGCCGCAGATTTTTTGCCCTTTTAACCCCCCTTTCAACCCGTTTATCCCCCCATTAAATAAATTTAACCCCCATAGAATACTTTTATCATATTTATTTATAGAATTTTCATTAATATATTAAAATAAAATGGTTAATTACAATCAATTGATTAAATAAATATTGATAATCATTTCATTTTGATTGGTCGGTAGTTCAATTACAAAATTGATGGTTCAAAAGCTAAATTAACGAATTTATTTCAATCCGATTCGTTTGTATGCGTCAAAGGTGATTGGACTTTCGCGACCAAGGTGAGGAAATATGAATTCATAGTTATATCATCGACCAACACCAATTAGATTTCAGTCGGATGAACCATAAAACCAATGATTTAATTTCAATATAAGCTTTTATCTGTAAAAAAATAACCAAGAATTAGTTGTCATCATTCATTAAAGTCCAAGTTTAAGAAAAGATACATACCTAATTTTTTCGTTACAGATTGAATTTATCAAAAAACAAACTAACGACCAAATTACCTTGAATACTCATTCTTCTGAAATAAAAAATAATTTAGCCAAGTAAAAAAAATGAATTACCAAAAAATTAGTTGTAATAATTCTAAGATTTCATAAGGCGTAGATATCAGTTTCCTTAAACTTTTTACTGGACCATCACAATTTGAAATAAAGATTGAGACCGATCAATCTTAATATCGATTGCATTCAAAGAGGAATAGATATTGAAACATTGATTATCATCAACAAAGTCAAATCAAAATTCTTACCATAGTTTAGGGTCAATCAATCTAAAGCAAAATCAATCGACAATTTCCCACGATAAAACAAAAAATCTCTTGTCATTTTCAGGATAATTGGGGAAAATTTATTCTGAACTTTGTCGATCAACAGAACCAAATTCATTTGTAATTCCATTTGTAATATCGATACTTCTGAAATAAAAAATAATTTAGCTAAGTTTAATTGAATGATAGAGAATACCAATTACCAAAAATATGAAAAATCAGCAAAAACTGAATTACAAACTGATAGCCAAACCAATAAATTCTAGCGCATCTTCATAGAATTTTTTTTCGAACCAAAGTTTCAATTCATCATAAAATACCATCAAAAATTGATAGCGCTGTTTGGATTTGAATTGGGAATTAGAAATCGNAAATCAATCGACAATTTCCCACGATAAAACAAAAAATCTCTTGTCATTTTCAGGATAATTGGGGAAAATTTATTCTGAACTTTGTCGATCAACAGAACCAAATTCATTTGTAATTCCATTTGTAATATCGATACTTCTGAAATAAAAAATAATTTAGCTAAGTTTAATTGAATGATAGAGAATACCAATTACCAAAAATATGAAAAATCAGCAAAAACTGAATTACAAACTGATAGCCAAACCAATAAATTCTAGCTTATCTTCATAAACCAAAATTTTCAATTCATCATAAAATACCATCAAAATAAATAGCGCTGTTTGGATTTGAATTGGGAATTAGAAATCGTGTTTAATAAATGAAAATAAAGCTCACCAGCATTCTGGTTCCGTTTCATGGATGGAATCCAATGCAAGTATTGATATCGAAATCAAACCTCAATTTTCTTTTTGAATTTTGTCTTGTTCAACGGGCAAATGATCACATCCTAGAATATACATAAAAAATAATTAAGCCAAGTCTAAACAAATGATGGAGAATTACCGAAAAATTAGTTGTAATTATTCTAAGTTTTCATAATGCGTATATATCAGTAACGATTGAAACCGATCAATCTTAATATCGATTGCATTCAAAGAGGAATAGAAACATTGATTATCATCAATAAAGTCAAATTAAAGTTCTTACCTTAGTTTTGGGTCAATCAATCTTAAGCTAAATCAATCGCCAATTTTCCATGATAAAATGAATGATGATTGCATCATCGCTCGTTCAAAGATTTTTCCATCAATTTGGTGGCCAATTTTTGATCTGAAAAAGATAAAAGCATGGACAAAGATAATCTTAAACTAAAAAAATAGTTTGTCTCAAGATTTTGGACCAAACAAAAATCAATGATTNTATCATCAATAAAGTCAAATTAAAGTTCTTACCTTAGTTTTGGGTCAATCAATCTTAAGCTAAATCAATCGCCAATTTTCCATGATAAAATGAATGATGATTGCATCATCGCTCGTTCAAACGTTTTTCCATCAATTTGGTGGCCAATTTTTGATCTGAAAAAGATAAAAGCATGGACAAAGATAATCTTAAACTAAAAAAATAGTTTGTCTCAAGATTTTGGACCAAACAAAAATCAATGATTAAATTTAAAAAATGTTTTACATCGATTAAAATTGTAATTTGCAAGTCATGATGAAAAGGCATGGACGATGATGAAATTCGAACGTTCGAAATTGGACTGATAAAAACCATGCCAAAAAAAATTCAAGCAGTGGTTTACTGATGTGATAGACTGTATTGATCGAATGAAGGAAAAGTATAGAAAATAGGGGGATACCACTTGTTGGGGGAAAATTTTATATTGAAATTAACTAGCCATTTGCCTATGCGCAATCGATCATTTGTTGGCCTTAAGAATTTTTTGAAAAAAGAAAGCATTATAATTTCCATTGATTTATCATTGGTAAAAATGAAAAATTTGATTATTTTTATATTAAAATTCCTGATCTTTTCAACTTTATGAATTGATC